TTTTGAGCCATTTGTAAAACTTGAAGGCAGTGTTGGAGCTCTCTTTAACAGATATCTTTTAATTCAAGGGGCTTTGTTGGTGCACAGTTAGCAAAAGTGTTGCCAGTGTTTTTGATGTTGCTATAGGTGGACCAAAGTAGCTGGGCCATGACTGGCACAGTTGAAGCCCCATTGATGGTAGCTGAATCTCAGAGTTCCTGGCTGTCCAAGGTTTTGCCCAGATAAGTAATGAGAGGGGATTTGCTGCAAATGGGTTTTAGGTCATGTAGTCTGATTTGGGTGCATGTGGTCAATAAGATTTTAGACTGATTTCCACTTAAGATATCTGTAGCTGAGATTGGAGTCCTGGCACTAGCGTGTAGGCAGACCCTTCAACGTTGCCTGTCATTATGGGTCTTTTGTTTTAAGTGCTGGTGTGATTGCTGGTGGGCAAGCCAACAGGGCCTTTGGGCTGTAGGGCTTGTATTAGCTACACTCAAATGGCCTCAGCATTTGCCATGTTTGGTTCAAAAATGGCTTCCTTGGAGGGTTTGGGCCTCCAGATTGCAAACCGATGCGAGCACCCAGACCAGTAGCAACAAGACCAATAGCCAACAGAATGGTGTGCAGTTTCACTTGACAGGCTTTTGCCAACTGATACTGATTTTCCTCTGGTATCTATTATCACCAAAGAGGATTCATTTGGTTTCATCGTTATGGGATATGCTGTTGATTTTATTATCTCTGAATGTGATTTTCATTTACTAAGTGGAGTTTTCTATCTCCCTTCTTGGTAGTCCACTCTGTCTATGGGAATAGCCCGGAGCACTAGTTTTAATTTCCTGGAGGGGATCAGGAGGAGAGCCCAGATTAATTTTCAGCCCCTTATAACCCAAATTTTGGGGAAAGTTTCTTGGGTAGGGAAAGTTCAAGCTCACATGGATCACATACCAAGTGGACACATGTCTGGCTCATGATAATCTATGATTAATGGTGCCAGGAGAGTATGCGCCCTCGATGTGATCTCCAGCCTTTATGAAATGGCAGCAGGATTGAAAATCCGTAAAGATAGAGGGAGACATTATTACAGGGCCTCATGTGTGATGAGTCTTCATACACATGGAGGGCAAGATAGATCCTTCTTTAATATAGGACATGGTGATAGGGCGGTTTCATAAAATTTCCGTGAAATGTGAGTCAGCCAAGGGGCCTTAAATTAAGAGAGATTAAGACTTGGGACAAAAGAGAGACACGTTTGGGGTCCTTTTGCCGGACTGGCATTTAAGAGGGAGCTATTTGAAGATACATTATGTCTCTTAATTAAACCAGCTGCCTAGGACCTATTGGGAGATGAAAGCTCCACTGAATGCTTTTCCCAGGGGCCCAGCATTGTGTATTTTGAGAAGTGAAATGTGTGCCTTGGTCACTGTCAGTAATGTCTGGAACTCTGAAGGGAATAAGGAGTATCCTGGTGAGGCCTTGTATTGTAGCCTTACTGTATGTAGAGACGTGTGCGGCTTTGATTTATATTTTGAGTATCTGTGAGGTGAGAGATTCCCAGAGTTCTTTACCCTTAAGGATGGGAAACTCTTAGGCCCAAGAGTTTGGAAAAATATGCAGATAGGGCCATTTGCTGGCTAGGACGTTCCGTGCTAAGATGACTTCCTAAAGTTTGACCACTTGTGCTGGCCCTTGGATCCCATCCTTTATCAGGGACATCCTAGTTAAGGAATGGAAAGCAGCAACATTCCACTGAGCTCCATCCCCTATAGCAGTGGCAGTGCTGTCCATACAGTCTGTGAACTCGCATTGCTGTTTACTCAGTTAGTCCCAAGGGCCTTCCCAGGTAGTCTGGGGGCCTGGGGAAGAGGTGACCTCCTCTAGCACCATGACACAGGCAAGAGACTAAGGATAGGAGAGCCCACTCCTTGCAGGTGGAATATTCCAGAGGACTCAGGTTTGGCTCCATCCTATAGGATGCATCAAGGAGGCCTCAATACCTGTGCTGACCTTGTGGAGTGCTGCTTCAATGATTGCATAATTCCATGAAGCAATGATTCCATGATTCCATGATGGCATAATGGACAGCTGGGTTCAGAGGGTCCCAGGCTCAGGGTCTGTGAAAACCTCTATTTCCAAGAGATCTCAGCATATGGCCAGCTAGTTGTTACTCTAATGATGTGTATACTACAGGGCCAAAAAGGGCAGTTTCTTGCATCATAAGCCCATGGGCAACTTGTGGCCATCATAGGTGGTTCAGAGACTCCAGAGGCATGCGAGGAGGTTGCTACAGCCTCTACAGTGAAGGAGTCTCTGAGGGCACTAAGAGCAGTGACTGTTGATTTTAATTTGAATGGATTCTGGAGCCTTTTGTTGGAGGGGGCCCTATTCAAGGTGGGATAATTTGTAAGTAACAACATCAGTGAGATTAAGTAAAATTTGTAAATGAGGATTATGTTGCCTCCAGAACCCAAATAAGCCTAAAAGACATTATGGGTGCTGAGTGGTTTAACTGCAGTTTTTCAACAGTGTTAGGGATAGAGCTGTCCCTTTTTACCAATAATTTTCAGGAATTTAACCAAAGTGTTAGGGCTTTGCACTATGTGTGGGACAATGGCCCATGCCTTTTTTTGTGAGCTCTTTTGTAAGTATTTGTATGTCTTTAATGAGTATGTTCAATGAATCTCCTCAAAGGAGGATGTCATCAATATAATGTCTTACCTGTGCTCCTGGAAAAAAGTGGATGCAGTTAAGATCTTGCCTTCAAGATTGCCTACAATGGCAAGGCTACTGAGGTATCCATAGGTAGCCTGGTAAATGTGTATCATGTTAGGCCCTGATAAGGGAGATATTTAGGATGGGAGTTTAGTAAACTGCCTGTGAAGAGGAATTGAATTTTTAGACATGACATCAGAATTGGGTTAAGACAGCGCTTGTGAAATGTTTTATCACAGGCTTATACTTCATGCCACACACAATTTACCCAAAATGGACCATTGACCTAAATGTAAGAGCTAAAACCATAAAACTCTTAGAAGAAAACAAAGGAGATCTCCATTACCTAGGTTAGGCAGTGGTTTCTTTTATGTGACACCAAAAGCACAAGCCATCAAAGGAAAAGAATACCTAAATTGGACTTCATGAAAATTAAAGACCTTTGAGCTTCAAAGGACACCATCAAGAAAGTGAACATATAGCACACAAAATGAGACCCAAAATGTGCAAATCATATGTTCATTAAGGGAATTGTGTCTTAGGATATATGAGGAATTATTACAACTCAACAATCAAAAGACAACCAAATTTTAAAAACGAGCAAAGCATTTGAATATACATTTCTCCCAAGAAGATATACAAATGGCCAATAAGCACATAAAGATGTTCAGTATCATCATGGAAACACAAATCAAAATCACAGTGACATACTACTTCAAGTCCACTAGGATGACTATAATCCAAGAGATGGCAAAGGTCTGGAAAGATTGGAACTTTGATATATATATATTTGGTGGACTTGTAAGAGGATGCAGCTGTTTTGGCACAGAGTTTGGCAGTTCCTTAAAATATTAAACATAGAGTTACCATATGACCCAGCAATTCTATTCCTAGGCATATATCTAAGAGAAATGAAACGTATGTCCACACAAAAACATGTACGTGAATGTTCTTAGTAGCATTATTCATAGTAACAAAAGGTGAAAAGAATGCAAATGTCCATCAGCTGATGAATGGAAAAAAAGGTGGTGTATCCACACAGTGGAACATTATTTAGCAATATAAAGGAATGAAGTACTGATCATGCTACAACATGGATGAACCTCGAAACATTATACTATGTGAAAGAAGCCAGTCACAAAAGACCACGTACTGTATGATTTCATTTATATTATATGTCTACCTAGAATAAGCAAATTTATAGATAGAAAAAGTAGATTAGTGGTTGCCAGGGTCTGGGGAAACGAGAGAGTGGGAAGTAATTGCTAATGGGTATGGGATTTTGTTTTTGGGGTGATGAAAATGTTCTAAAATTAGATAGTGGTGATGGTTGCACATCTCTGTGAATATACTAAAAACCACTCAGTTGTACTTTTAAAAGGATGACTTTATGGAATGTGAGTTATATGTCAATAAAACTGTTATAAGAAGAAACAAATAGGAGGAAGATGCTATAGCTAGTGGGGGTGGAGAATGGTGGTAGTAGTGGTTAAATTCACAGACCTATTTGCTGATCAAGTAAGTGTTAATGTGTATAAAGCATCCAGCACGTAGTGGTGGAAATTTCTGTGGAAATTATTTGTTCTACAGCCGCTTTCGCAGGTCATCCACAGCCTTACATTTAGAGGCAGAATGATGTTAGGCAGGATAACTGGGAGGTGCTGCTTCCAAAGTTGCTGAATTCAGGTGACGCTATGACTCAATACAACAGGCAGTTGTTTTCTGTTAGAGGATGCTTTGGACTTGTTCCTTGGTTACTTGATGAGTCTAGTGTGACTCCATGTAGCCTGGATGAAGCCTATGCTTTGGACTCATAATGCTTCTTGCACCTGGAATGTGAGAACCAGCCAGGGAAGTACCTGAGGTGTTTAGTGTGTTGGGCCTGGGGGAAAGAGGCAGATCTTAGTTGTGGGAAGCGTTTGCACCGGAATTGGCCTACATGGGTACGACCATTTCCAGGCCTGAGAGCCCCATCAGTGTCCTTGAGCTGGGTACTGTGTGGATATATTTGAATCAGGGCCCCCTAGGCCATAAAAGATGAACCACTCAGACCAGGTAGAGAACCCCAACTGCATCACAGGGATTGGGTACTGCTTTAGCATAAATTAATTCTTCTACATCTGTGTTTTTGGGATTGGGGAAGAGATGAGATTGTTTAGACTTCTGCAGATCTTCTCAGTATATATTTTGGGACATGGAAGTGACCAGGTGCCATGAAGAGGGGAGGAAATATTTATCTCAACTTAGTCGTTTAGAAGCAGGCCTGTTCTCATGGTTTCCCTTTTCTTCCCAGACTGTCTTCTCAGGACTCTGCACTTCTGCACGAGAAGAAGCCAGAGGAGGACTCATAAGTTGCATTTCTGAGCCATGCCCCATGTGAGTTGGTGTTTCTTTTTCCCTTCATCAAGTAGTCATTGTTTTCTAAGATATGAATGTTCAATATCCTTATCTCCAGCCTTTCTGCCTCACCAAGTGTCTGCTGTCCTCCTCACTCCCATTCTAGTGAATGACAGGAATGAGCCCCAGGCCTTCCTCAACTGCCCCTGTCTTCTCTACCATATTTAGGCATCTATTTGAAAATCAGGAAATGTATTTGAGGAAAGAGTAGAACCTCTCCTGTCATAATGTGGTTTGATGAGAGGGGACTACACATGAGAAATTTGATCTTTCTCATTGACCTGAATTTTCTGGTTGATTAAGATGGAAATTGGTGTTAGTGTCAGAATGTGGTGAGATCTCCTGCTGTGTGAAGCTTTTAAGACTGGAAATGTGATCAAATGCAGGATTGAGAACAGAGAGAGAGAGCATTGTGTCAGGGAATACCTCAGAGATTAATGCCAGTGACAAGGTCCATTTTGAATTTGAATAGTATGTGTAGGTCAAGGGCCACAGCCATGTGAGTGTAGCTCATCTTTCATCAGCTTTCTCTTGCTCTAAATAATCAGAAGTGTACAGTGAGCAATGATGAGTGATCATATGATCATCTAGATGATTAAATGGTTGAGAATTTTAGAAACAGAACTGTGAAGGATGTTAGAGGAGGAGCACAAACTACCACAAAGAGAATGATTACGATCATAATGTGGAATATTATGTAGACTATAAAAATGATATCTGTGAAAGGATTTGCCAGGACAAGGAAGAATATTATTTCCAAATTATTCTGAGACTTGACTTGGAAAGAAATTCTTAAATTACATGTAAATCTTATTTTCTTTTTCTAAGATAAACATTTTAAAACACATTTTGGAATGTACCCATTAGGTTTATTTTTTTCTCCTTCCCTCCCTCCTTCCATTCCGACCTTCTTCCCTTTCCTCCTTTCTGTTGTTTTCAATTCTTTAAAGGGAAAAGCGGAGGAAGGAACTTGCAATTTATTTGAAAATTTGCATGTGTTGTGTGCTTACACACATTATTTCATTTAATCAGAAAACTCCACTCACCTGGCTTTTGTTCGTTATCATAGCTGTTCCTAAGAGGCTGTGATAGAGTGATAGGAATGTTCAGGAACTGTTCAGGCGCTCTGCATTTATCACACTCACTTCCTTTCTGTTACCTACCCACATTGCAAGCTTCCAGCTTCAACATATTCGCTCACTGTTTTGGCCCCTTTATGTAATACTTCTCTCCTCCCCTCATTACTTCTAAAAAATATTTCTTTATTTTGCCATTAACACTTGGGTTTGTCATTTCAGAGGTTAGTGTTGTTCGAGGATGTGGCTGTAGACTTTTCTCAGGAGGAGTGGGAATGCCTGGATTTGGAACAGAAGGATTTGTACAGAGATGTGATGTTGGAGAACTACAGCAACCTGGTCTCACTGGGTAAGTGTGTCTTCTCTTAATAATTCGACTTCAGTTTTTGTGAATTTTGGGAAACATGTGTGCCTAGCTGAATTTCAGACCCCTAGTCCCAAATAAATTGTTTGTGCCTTATAGACTTTGATGTGGACAGCTCCATTGGGTACCTTTATCTTCTCTATTCTCAGATATCCTTCCTCTGACCTTTTCTCTAATTGACCTTCTTAACTTGATGAAAAATGGACTCAATTTTAATTCTGGATAAGCAGAGCATAACCATATCCATTTCCATTCTTATCAGCAGGATTTTCCATTTTTAAGGCAGATGTGCTGTCCTTATTGGAGCAAGGGAAGGAACCCTGGAAGGTTGTGCAGGGTGTGACAAGAAGTCAGAGCTCAGGTGAGTAAGAGATGGTCAGGCAAGGGGAGGCCATTGTGGGTAGAATCAAATTGCTTAAAAAGTTGGCCACACCTTTGAGATATTAGCTGGAAACTTTCCACAAAGACCCAACCAAGGCCTGTGGAGTAAAAGCCTGAGCCCTAGAGGGCAAAGCTATCATCAATTACCAAAGGAAACCTCTTCTTCACCCCATTTACCACTTCCCTGCTTTTATTTCATTTTCCCCTGTATTTTCAGACGGGGAATAGCCTTCCATTTTACCTGTATTTTTGATCCAGTGAAACCTGTATAAGAGTCTTTATCCAACAAAATATTTTTTAAATGCCCTGTATATTCTAAGTATTGAGAATATAGCAGTGAACAAGAAAAATTCCCTATCCTGTGGATCTTTCCTAGCAGAAGAAAGAGTAACAGATAAGAATGTACAAGGAGTGATAAGTGTTATGAAGCAAAACAAAAAGCACAGAGAATAACGGAGTAGTTGGGGGAGTTGTTCTTCTAGAGAGAGTGGTCAGGGATGGCTCTCTGAGGTGCTGGCATGGGAGGAGAGACGTGAAGCAAGTGCTGGAGTAAGCCATACAAATTCTGAGAGAAGAGCACTTAAGGCAGAGGGACTAGCAGTTGCAAAGGGACTGAGGTAGGAATGAGTTTGATGCTTTTGAGGATTAGCAGATAAACAAGTGTGGCTAGAGTGAGTCAGGGAGAACGGAAGTAGTTGAAAATGAGGTCAGAGACGAGGTGGGGCTAGATCACATAGGGACTCGTAGGCCATGACAAAGAATTGGGATTACAATTAAAGTACCATGGGAGTGATGGGCTGATTTCGGGCAGGGGAGTGATGTGATGATGTGATTAAACTTGTTATTTTTTAAAGCAGTGTGCTCTATATTAAGATTTTTTTGTGTGTTTTTTATTGGGTTTTTTTGAGGAAGATTGGCCCTGCGCTAACATCTGTTGCCAATCTTCCTTTTTTTCTTTTTTTTCTCCCCAAAGCCCCAGTACATAGTTGTGTATCATGGTTGTAGAGTTGTAGCTCTTCTTTGTGGGCCACTGCCTCTGCATGGCCTGAGGAGCAGTGAGTAGGTCCACGCCCAGGATCTGAACCAGTGAACCCCGGGCTGCTGAAGCAGAATACGCAAACTTAACCACTACGCCACCAGGCTGGCCCCTAAACTTGTTATTTTTAAAGAACACTGTGGATACTGTATAGCAAATAAACTGGGAGCAAGAGTGAAGCAGGAAAACCAGTTGGAAAGCCATTTTTTTAGTCCAGATTAGAGATTATGGTGGCTTGCATGAGGGCAGTAGGAAGTGAAGGTGACGTGAAGGGGTCAGATTCTGAGCAGATTTTAAAGGTAGAGCCTCTTGCTGATTAATTGGAAATGGTGTATGAAGAAAGAGAAATCCAGGATAACTTCTTAGATTTCTGCCTAAGCAACTGGATATCCTTTTCTTAGGGAAGACAAGTGTTCAAGAGTTGTGTTGTGTTTTGGACATGATACTTTAGAGATATCTATTAGAAATGGGAAGAAGTCAGGAAATGACCTAGGAAGAAATAATATAAATAGTATTTAAACTTTAGGCTTGGAAGAAATCATTTATGAAGTTATAGTAGTTATAAAAGAGAAGGACCCAGTATGCTCTGCAGTTTGGTCAGAAAGAAGGAGAAGGTTCAACAAAGGAGATGAGAAGGAATATCTGGTGAGCTGGTAGGAAAATAAAGAAAATGTGTTATCTCAGAAGCCAAGTGGAAAAAGTTATTTAAGAAGGGCAGGGTCTTGCATATCCGAGAACACGAGTAAGTTGAAGACTGAGAATTGATCACTGGAGTTGGTAATGAGGGAAAAGAAAGCTATAGATTGGTTCGGATAGAAGGGAAGAGAGGAAAATGGGAGATAGTGTAGCATAGAGGATGATCGCAAGAACTGGAGTCACATAGACCAGGGTTTTAGCTCCAGCTTTTTTTTTTTTTTTGTGAGGAAGATTGGCCCTGAGCTAACATCTGCCAATCCTCCTCTTTTTGCTGAGGAAGACTGGCCCTGGGCTAACATCCATGCCCATCTTCCTCCACTTTATATGGGATGCCGCCACAGCATGGCTTGCCAAGCGGTGCTTTGGTGCGCGCCCGGGATCCAAACGGGTGAACCCCGGGCCGCCGAAGTGGAGCGTGCGCACTTAACTGCTTGTGCCACCAGGCCGGCCCCTCCAGCTTTTGTCTTAAGCAAATTACTTTACTAGACTTGAACACCACTACGACCCCCCATTTCCTCATAGTTTAAGAGGAAAAGAACACCTAACTGATAAGGTTATAGAGAAGATTTGGAATACTAAATGCAAGTACATCACCTTAAGTTCTCAATAAGAGATAATTTTTATGGAATAAAAATTAGTAGAAATGGGAAAACTACATTTCTGCTGCATTTTGAAGTATGGACTGAAGATTTCAAAATAGAACCTGGCAGAATAGCTCCCATCGAGAGCTAGAAGACATCCTAGGGGATGCTCTCTGCTGTGACTACCCTACAATCAAGTTTTTCCCGATGATTCTCCTAACTAAATACCTCTTGATTCTGTGTGCTATCCCCACATCCACTGGCAGCACTTCAAACTAAGCCCATACTATTTCTTTTTTTCTTTTTGTTTTTTTTGTGAGGAAGATCAGCCCTGAGCTAACATCCGTGCTAATCCTCCTGTTTTTGCTGAGGAAGACCGGCTCTGAGCTAACATCTATTGCCGATCCTCCTCCTTTTTTTTTCCCAAAGCCCCAGTAGATAGTTGTATGTCATAGCTGCACATCCTTCTAGTTGCTGTACGTGGGACGTGGCCTCAGCGTGGCTGGGGAAGCGGTGTGTCGGTGCGCGCCTGGGATCCGAACCCAGACCACCAGTAGTGGAGCTCGCGCACTTAACCGCTAAGCCACAGGGCTGGCCCCGAGCCCATACTATTTCTAATCTGGGCTACTACAGTAGTTTTCTAACTAGTCTTTACACAACAGCTAGAATAATATTTTAAAAAAATAGAAATCAGATCACATAATGGTAAAATCCAAACTAGAAAGCCCTGCCTAATCTGGCTCCAGCAGACCTCTACACTCGTACCTTAGACACCTCTCCCCTCTCCCATTAGACTCCAGGCACAGTAGCCGTCATTCATGACCTCAGACACATCTAGTATCTGTGTACCTGGTCTCTAGTATATGCCCTTCCCCATTAGGGCACTCCCTCTGCCTGGAATGCCCTACTCGCCTGACTAACTGCTTTGCTTCTTCAGGTCTCAACCTATACATCATTACATCCTGAGAAGTCTTTCCTGACCCTACTCTCAATAATAATAACCTGGTAGCTTTTCTTATAGTAATTTCCAAGCTATAATTATATAATTCTCTTCCTAGTAAGACTGTCACTCCTTTGGCTGCAACACTACACGTTACTATCTGTGAAGGAGATCTGCAGAGCTCTCTGTGCTCCTAATTAAAGCGAAGCCTTCAAAATCTCACATGATCCTGGTAAGACCAGCCCGACAGGCCTCAGCACTGCCCAGCAGAGTTTACAGGAGATAGGGTCACTTCCTGTACTAGCATGGCAGTATCTTTCTTACCACTAGAACTGTCTAAGAGACCAATTCCCATTAGCAAAATTATCCACCTTCCCCTAAGAGATTATTTAGGACTAATCTCAGTTTGTCCTACATCTTTGATTGCCTCACTCGCCCAGAAGTCCAGTCTTTCAAGGACACCAGTCATCAGCTGAACTCTTCTCACCATACAGGTCTGTATATGTATCTCCTAATCAGACTTAATTCTCCACCATTTCCTAACACTCAAATCCCTTTCACCATACTGTTTGAAACTCTGTAAGATATATCTCAGACTCTGGATATTCCTTTCACCTTTTGGCTTCAATGAACCCTTAGCCATGCCATGAACGTACAACTTTCCCTTGGAACACTTGATAATGGTGGTGGTTTTGTTTTCCTCCACAGTCCATTATTTTGCCTCATCAAAGCCCCCAGCTCCTTTAAAGCACTTCAAAGACTGAACCACCCACTGTGCCTTCTTGTCCCATCATCTCCCAATTTCCTCTCCTTGAATAGACTAAGATCAAAACACTTGGCCCACTGACTTTTTCTCCTCCACTACACCTGTCACCATTCTTGGTGACTTCAACATCCTCATAATAATACATCTCAATTCCTTAACCTCAATTCAAATAATCTTTCTCCTCCAAATTCCTTCACTTATTCACTACCATAAGTGATACATAAACCTTTCAATTACCAGCCCAAAATCTCTGTTTCAGACATTCCCTCTCTCTGAGAGCTACTTCCTAACTTTTCAGCTAACTTACTCTTGTACCGCCACTTCAACCCATATGTTGTGATGTCTCCCACATTAAAAAAATAAATTGTGTTTGACCAGGTTACATTTTCTGTTCCATTACTTTGCTCTCCTCATAGCTGTGAATTATCTATACCTTCTCACTTTCCATTTTCTTTCCTCTTTCAGCTGTAGTTATAGCTATTGCTGAGTGCCTTTTCTCTTCCTCCCTGGATGATTTTATAGCATGCTCAAGAAAATGCTTTTTTTTTACTAGATTGCAAACACATTTCATACTTTAGACATGGTATAATTCCTCCATCCGTAATATATGCCAGAATCATTCAACAATTTGGATATCTCTTAGTCTAATTCTTTGTATGGATTGCCATCTCTTTACTTCTTGTTCTGCTACCACTTTGGGCCAGCTCATCAGTTAGAGGAATACAAGCATTGGGTTCCAAGTTTGCCCTGGACCCTTACAGAGAGCATTAGGAGAGTCCAGGGTTTTTATTTACAGAGTTTTCATTTAGGGAATTTTGTTAACATTTAGAACAAAACTGTACCAACCACATGATTTTTAAAAATTTATTGTTATAAATATACAGAAAAGTACATAAAACATGTGTACAGTTTGATGAATAACCACCCATCACAAGAGATAAAACATTGCCAGCACTCCAGA